CGTGCTTAAGGCAAGTGCTTGCTCCTGGAATGGGGTCAAGAACTGAAGAGCAAGCTGGGGGGGTGGGGGCAGGCAGGTAGAAAGGGAGATGTTGGCATATTGGGTGGACAGTGGTTTAACAGCCTGGGTCTCCTGGGACAGTCTGGAGGGTAGTGGAAAGAATTAGGATGAACAGCACAAAGGACAGGGTGTGGTGGTACACACCTGTCATCCCAAAACTTAAGAGGCTGAGGCAGGGGGGTTGTAAGTTTGAGGCCAGGCTGAGCTACATAGTGATACCTTTCTCCAAGCAACAAAATGGGCCAGTGGGATGGCTCCGCATTGCTTGCCAAGCCCGATCAGTTTGCTCTCCAGGACCCACATACTGGAGTGCTCTCAGTTGCCCTCTGACCTCCACTCACGTACTGTGCACCCCCAGCCGTACACACATGCACGGCTGTGGGATGATGGATGAGCAGCTCCAGGGTCCTGAAATTGCTGTGGGGAAATTCAGGAGATGGGTCCAGGCATGGGGTGGCCCAGCAGGACATGAGGTAGGAAGGGTGGGCACCCATGCCACTGCCTCCCTAAAGTCATGCCTGTCTCCTACAGAGATCGCCATCTGCCCCAACAACCATGAGGTACACATCTATGAGAAGAGTGGTGCCAAGTGGAACAAGGTTCACGAGCTTAAGGAGCACAACGGGCAGGTGACAGGTGGGTGAGGACCCCCCTCTTGAGGAGGCAAAGGGACAGAGCAGGTCCAGGCAGAGCTGACTACTCACTCGCTCTATTAGTGGGAGTAGTCTGGGTTGCAGAGAAAACAACCCTCTTCAAACTGACTTAGGGACCATAAAGACGGCTCAGCTGATAAAGGGACTTACTTGAGTTCCATCCCCAGACCTCACAAGGAAGAGAACCAGTTCCTGCACGCTGTCCTCTGACCTCCACAGACTACCATATACAAACACAAATACATTTTTAAAATTAAAAGTCAAATTGGTGCCAGGCGATGGTGGCGCACGTCTTTAATCCCAGCACTTGAGAGGCTGGCGGATCTCTGAGTTCAAGGCCAAGCCTGGGCTACAGAGGGAGTTCTAGGACAGGCTCCTAAGCTACAGAGAAACCCTGTCTCGAAAAACCAAAACCAAACAAACAAAAAGTCAAATTGTCTTCAGTGGTAAAAAGATTGTAGACTTCCCAAGGGGCTAGATCCAGCAGCTCAGCATTACTAGGACCTATCTCTTGGCTTTATCTCCAGAATGTTTGGGATTATTTTGTGGAAATTGGTAGTCCCCTAATAAGCTTCAGTAGTCACCCCTAGAGTGTGTTAGGGGAGGGGGATGCTAGTGAGTGGAGATGTGGCTCAGCAGTCCAGCACTTGCATAGAATTCCCCGGTCAGGGGCAGGGGGCTAGAGGCATGTCTTGGTAGTAGCACACTCGTTAGTTGGAGCAAAGCACTAGGCACCATAGTTATACGGCTAGGCATGGCCACTGTAGCTTGGGTGGCTTTAGCTTGTGTCCTCTGACCCTGTCCTGCAGGTATTGACTGGGCCCCTGAGAGTAACCGCATTGTGACCTGTGGCACAGACCGCAATGCCTATGTGTGGACACTGAAGGGCCGCACATGGAAACCCACACTGGTCATCCTGCGGATCAACCGAGCTGCCCGCTGTGTGCGCTGGGCCCCCAATGAGAACAAGTTCGCGGTGGGCAGTGGCTCCCGTGTCATCTCCATCTGTTACTTTGAGCAGGAGAATGACTGGTGGGTGCTTTGTCGGGGCCAGAGGAGGCTGGGGGTGGGAGAGTCCAGGGTGGGGTAGGGGTGCAAGGTCAAAATGGCCCCAGAATGCAGCAATGAAACGCGAAGACTCTTGCTCCCATGACTCCAGGGAAATCTGTCCTGAGTCTCACTGGGGAGGCAGATGGTCTTTTACTGTGGTCCCACAGCTCTGACTTGACACAGAGCACACCAGTGCTACTTCGGGGGACACTCCAAGCCCTTTGCACACACTGCCACCCACTTTCAGGTGTGCCATACTTCAAGGGCCACTCACAAACACCAAGCCCAGGATGGTTTCAAGTTCAGTGTAGAGCATGGTGACCCTGAACTTGTGGTCCTCCTGCCTCTGCCTCCCTAGTCCTGGGATGACAGGCATGCATCACCATGCCTGATTTATGCAGGGACAGGAATGGAATGGAAGACTCCATGAATGCTGGACAAACACTCCACCATTTGAACTACATCTCCAGCCGTAGGGAATTAAAACCTAGGGTCTCCTGCATGCGAGATAAAACTCTGCCACCGAACTACATTGCAAGCCCTAGTTTTGGTGGAGACAGCATCTTGCTAGCTAAGGCTACCCTTGAATTCAATTCTCTAGTATTTGTGTGCACCAGATGCCTGTCCCAGCCAGTGTTGGAGGACAAGGACAGCTTTGAGTCTGGAAAACCAGAATTCAAATCCCACCCTAGCCACAGAACCATGCGATCTGCAGTTGGTGGTAGCAAGTTCTCACCTCAAAAGGAACCCAGTACATCACTGCCTGGAGTAGGCACTCAAGTGTTGATGCAGTAGTGCCCCCGGGACACTGCTGTCCATGTCACCCACCTGCTTGCCTTTCTCACCCATGTGTGTAGGTGGGTGTGCAAGCACATCAAAAAACCCATCCGCTCCACCGTCCTCAGCCTTGACTGGCACCCCAACAACGTGCTCCTGGCTGCCGGCTCCTGTGACTTCAAATGCAGGTAAGCTGGACATCCACCTGAGATGGAACCCTAGCCGAGCAATAGTAGGGACTGAAGGATGAAGAACCTCAAGCGCCTCCTCCTAGACCAACTCCTGTGCTACCAGCCAGGCCCCCTGGGGATCCCCGAGGCATCAGACAGGATTTTCACCCCCATGGCCTGCTAGCACCCCAGGATAGAGTCTTAGCAAAACTTGTCCCTTGCTGTCTCTTGAATGTCAGTAGGGTCCCCACAAGTCCTCCTCGCCCTCATACAGCTGTCCTGATTTCTACTAAAGGAGAATGGTGTTTAGTGTAAAATTCCTACTAAGGTTCAAATGACTGATAACCTGGTTACTTACGGCCCTATAAACTCTCTTGGTCACTGAACCCAAATTCCTCCCAAATCTCTGAATTCTCACCTGGGAAACTATAGGCCTATAGTTTCCTGATCCAGGGCCCAGAGATTGTAGCTTCCCATGAGGCTTTAGGTTGATAGCTAGGGAGCTGGTCTGTTGGCCCCACCCGTTTTTGTTTTCATGAACTGGTGCCTTGCGGTTATAGCTCAGGCTGTCCTCAAACTTATGGTCTTCTATTAAGGGTGTTAAACAGGTGGATCAAGAAGAGTTTAGTATGTGTGGGAATGGTGTTGTGGGGCCAAGAGGAGGGCAGTATTGGAGCACAGGAGCTGTTGTAGCCACAGTCTAGCCTGGCAGGGACTGGGACACCTCCTAGAGCCATCTGTAGCAGTTATGAACAGTCACCTTTCATGTTAGGGTTCCATGGGTGCTGGGAGGTCACAGGACTCTGAACTAGGCCTCCCAACCTGGCCCCATCTTGGTATATAGAAGGCAGAGGCTCAAGCCTGAATACAGCAGTCCTGCAGAGTCAGGTCTGGGACCCACAGACTTGGGGGAGGATCCCCTTCTCAGGCCCCTTTGTTTTCCCCAACAGGATCTTCTCTGCCTATATCAAGGAGGTAGAGGAGCGGCCAGCCCCGACACCATGGGGCTCTAAGATGCCCTTTGGGGAGCTGATGTTTGAGT